AAGTATCATTCACAGCACATCTCCCTGTTGCAAGCCTCTCAATGTCTTAATGAAGCAGCAGATACAGTAGTTGTGAAGTGGAAAGAAAACACTGTTTCATGCGATACCTCTAAATAAAATCCAGTGAAGTCACTTATCTTCGTATTTCAGCTACTGTAATTAGAAAATAATTCATCTGCGAAGAATTCTATCTTTGCATAAATCAGAGGTTCCCAAACTGACCCTCGACCCGCGTCGTTTCAACCAGACAGCCATTTGTAATCCATAGGGGGGGGCGCAGAAAATGTTTGGAAACCACTGGGGGGGCGCAGAAAAAAAAGTTTGGGAACCACTGGCATAAATGTAGCTGTTGTGTAAAGGCCTCAGAAAATGTTTGAAAAGAGCGAAGGAAACGACATTACTAAAAATAAAATAAAAAACGTAGCAGATAGGAGATAGGTCAGTGATAAATTTGTAGAGAAGTTGAAAGTAGGGTTAGTTTACAAAACAATGTTCAATCCATCATCTGAGAGTGGAAAGAGTGTCGCACAACTGCAAGCCTACCGAGACATGATATTCCACCTGAAGGTGTGCATTAATCAAAGAAGCACCAAAGAGGCAAATGGTAAATCTGGAGGAGCGACAGAGCTCCAGAATACATGGATCTCCATGCCACAAATAGGTCCATTAAGAGGAAAGCCAAAAGAAATTCTACTTGCTTATGCCACAAATCACATGGGTGATAGAGCAAGCAGGAGGTCCGACGAGACAAAATTGACCTGCCTTCAAGCAAAAAACTATGTGAGGGGGAGATTTGCACTGCATAAGACCCCAATCAGACCCTGTCCCTGGTGACACAGGGTGGTGGCAGCATCATGCAGAGAGGCTGCTTTTCTTAGAAGAAAATCAGAAATGACGACAAGACGGGCAGAGCTAAATACAAAACTATCCTGAAAGAAATAACTTGAGACTGGGGCAGGGGTTCACCTTTCCGCAGGACGACTCTCCTGAGCCTACAGACAGAAAGGTTTAGATCGATTCACCCTCATATTATAGCCCCATCAAAGTGGACTCCTAAATCCAAGTGAGTAGCATTTTTAGTTTCCAGATGTGTAAAACTGGTAAACACACACCTAATGTGTGAAAGTAATTGCAATGAAAGGTGGTTCTACGACATATTGACTGAATACAAATGCATCCCTCAGTAGATTTTTTTAGATTTTGATGTATTTTTAGCTATATGTAAATTAAAGGTTATTTTAGTTACACTTACCAATTATGAAGCTTATGTTGAACTTTCACATAAGGTGGTGGCTATAATGTGACAAAATGTCTCAACAAGTGTTCTTATTTTTTTATACATCACACTTTGTTAGATAATCAATATGAGTAAATACTACTATATGAAATATCCATATGTGGATGACTGTAAAATAAACTCATATATGCTATTAATGAAAGGGATCTCTGTGATCTATTAATATGAACAAAAAAATAAATGTTCATCACAGATAGGTTAACAAACAGGGAAAACATGCATTACATGCTTAGCACTGAATAGAGAATATAGATAGAATCAGAATCAGGACCCCTGAATTACCTTAGAACAAACAATATATCTACTTAGAGTTCCAACATCCCTGATTATAGATGAAAAATAAACCCTGATCAGTTTTTTTTTTTTTAATTTTCAGTGTCTCCTCAAGTAATTTAGTGGAAATGATATCTCTGTTCTGTGACGCTGCATCTCTAGGGGGCACAATAATCTCACATATCACTAGGTGGCATTGTTACACCTCAGGAGGAAGGACTGCCAATAAAATATACATACATTACCATAGCAACAGCATTCCCTCCTCTTCTTTTCTTCTATTGTACAGTTGGCATATATAAAGTAGGGGTAAAAACTGCTAAAGATAAATTGAGAGGTTTCACTTCAGGCCAAAAGTTGTTTTTTTTTTCCACTGTAATTGGTGTTTTGCAGAAGAGCATATGTGGTCAGAAATGGACAAATCGTACCTAAAGCCAGTGAGACGCCTCGAGCCAGACAGAAAGCAAAACTCAGGGTCAAGATAAGAGGCCCATTATGAGGCGGTTGCCTCATAATGGGCCTCTTATCTTGAGAATCTGTGAACTCCTACAGTGATTTGTTCCTCCTACAATAAGAAGGTTACATCAATCTCCAGGATTCTGCATTCATTACTGTTTGTAACAATTGGATTGAATCCTCACTGTGGTGATCTGCAGTCACATCTGGATTTATAGGAGCATGTAGAATGCAACAGATAATTGCATGCTTTAGTTTTTATTTTGGAGAAAGTGAGTGAAATGTTATATAAATGTCTAATCAGGAAAGAAGATTAAAAACAGAGGACCACACAATATAAAATAGATAAAATGGCTATTACGTACTGGCAGTGGCACAGTGGTGAGCATCCTGATTTGATTTTTTGCGTGGGTTCACTATGTATTTCGACTTCCTCCCACGGTCCAATAACACGGCTGTTGGGTTAATTGCTCTCTCTAAAGTGTCCTCAGGTGAGAGAGGGCATGTTTGTCTGTCTTGTGTATTTCTATGTTGGCCTGTAGTGGACAGGCCCCCTTCTCAATAAGCGCTTGGAAATAGGCACCAGCCCACCAGTGATCCCATAAGGATAAGCGGTCATAGGCAATAAACGGACAGTTTAGTTACCCTTGAAACCAAGAAATGTCTGTAAATGAACACAATTTTAAATATCAACATAAAATATGAGGGTATGGGGTGCTGCAGTGGCACAGAAGTAACGCACCGGTACAGAGGCTTTAGTCCTCGATGTGGCTGTCGCAGGTTCAAGTCTCAGCCTCATCACCTTTGCTGCATGTCCTCCACCTCTCTCACTACCCACTTTCCTGTCTGACCACTCTCAAATAAAGGCCTCTAAAACCTTTTAAATAATTAGGATTTCATTCAAACTCTTTCTATGGATTTTTTTTGTGTGTGTGTGTTCTCTGATTACAGCTATGATCCAATATTCTATATATTAATGCTAAATTTTCATTATGTGCTGCATTTAGTGCACAGTACCTTGAAAAAGTAACCATCATGCTTAAATTTCACATTATAGCCACAAGCATAGTTGATTAGAATTTTATGACTAACACAGTGGTACTGTAATAATTGCTAAGTGGAAATACAAGAAAAGTTTCAAAGCTTTTTTGATTTTTTTTCACAAACACAATTCAAGGAAGCATGCATCTATTCAGCTTTCTTTACTCTGATCGTCCTTCAGAAAATCTAGTGCAACTAATTCCCCCCCCCCCAGATGTCACAGCTTTTAAATAGAGTCCACCTGCGTCCAACTCAACTTCAGTATAAATCCAGCTATTTTGTGGAGGAATCAGAGGACTTAGTCTTCCCATGATGCTAATATTCTCCAACACAGCAGATTGGTCAGGCTTATGAAATAATATCCAAAGCTTTGAACACCAGAGCACTGTTCAAACAATCATCTGAAATTGAAGAATGGCACAACTGCAGCCTACCAAGCCTTGACCTTTAGCCAACAGTGACGGGCTGCGGAAGGAGAGCATTACTTCGGAGAAGCGACCAAGAGGAAAACGATCAGCTCTGAGGAGCTGCGGAGATCCACCGCCCAGATGGGAGAATCCATTCACAGGACAATTAGCTGTGTATTTTACAAATCTGTCCTGGCAAGAAGAAAGCCATAAAGTGCTGTTATCAGTTTGCCAGATGCCAAGTGGATAACACAGGAAAACGTGTGGATGTAGATGCTGTTTTTAGACTAGAGCAAAATAGAAAAGGTACCCTGTACACTATGTGTTTGATGTAAAACCAGCACACACTGAACACATCATCTCCGTGGTGAAACACAGTGCTGGCAGGATAATAATAATTATTTCAAGACAGATCAGAGCTGGTGAGAAGATGGGTGGGGTTGAAAGCATTTTAAAACAAAATGTGATGTTTTTCCAACACATTTTCTGTTACCATTGAGTAAACACATCTTGTGTTATTTTCCACACTTTAAGTGTTTCTCTATTTAAACAGAAAAGAAACATGAGCTGCAAAAGACTGCAAACCGTTTAGGAATAATGTCACTTAAGGTCGAAAATAGAACAGTTTTTAGATCAAAGCACACGTGTGTGTTAAAAATGACCTTGTTCATGTCCAAACCTGAATCCAAATGTAAATGTTGCAGGACTTGCTCAGAGACTGCCTAGCCAATCGGCCTGAGTTTGAGCAATTTGCAAAGAATAATTGACAGACGTTTCAGTCTATATATGTGCAAATCTTAGAGATATAAGCCAAAAGCCAAATGGTATTTCAGTTAAATATTGACTCAGGAGTTTTAAGAACCGTGGTAAAGGTGAAGGGGTGCATTCGTGAATCACAGTGCCTGGGCGGGAATTTCACAGGCATTTTTACAGCGTGGGTAAGTCATCAGGAAAAAGTGTGACATATTTATGACACAAGGCGTTGTTATTAAATGGTGACACTTGGCCTCTGGTAGTTTAACCCGCATTAGTGCCATAATAACCACACCCTCCTTCAGGTTTAAGTCTCCTTGTGTCTACTTTAAAGTTTGATCCATACGCATGTAAACATTTCCGTTTTGCTAAAAGAAGTGACAAAAGCGCATCAGCGACAGGATGTTTCAGCTTTTGGTGGATAAAATACACAGAGCTTTGTTTTCATTCTTTGAATGGGACTCGTTGCTTTAAGGAGGTGACGTGTTTGCGCAAACTCAGACGGGTGCGGTGGACTAATAGAGTGCAAACAGATGCACCTGCGCTTTACAGTCACCTAATGCAACATACAGTAAAGGCAGCAGGGCATTCTCATTGAAATAATCATAATCATAATATGGAATCATATCATAGTATGGAAATTTGGTGAATTTTAGACAGGAGTGAGGGATCTCGGCAGCAAACGTGCACACATTCAGGTCACTGATAATGTTTTCGAGATTCGTAGCAGGTTGCTGTTTTCCACATTAGCCTCTACGCATCGTCAGAGGTGATGGATGTGCTCGAGGGCACAAGAATGACGCTGCTGTTACGCACGAGCGCGCACCAAAAACCATTTACCCACTTTTCACCCCAAGCCCATACGTACCTATCATGTTCTGTGACAAGAGACACTCAGCGCATACAGAGTCGCTCCTTGTCCTTTGACCCCACAAGCTTCCAAAATAGAGGAACAACCTTGCGGAGACATGAGTCGGAGCGGCAGTTGTTAACAACTCTCTGTGTTGCCCGTCACTCAGCAGACTTTCGGGCGGTCAACAGCGGAGGTTATAAAACTTGTGGTAAAGTTTACACGGCAGTGGCGTTTGTTAGTTCTCCCACTGCGGAGTGGACTTTTTCTTCTCTAAACATTTCTTCGGAAGCCAAGAGAGGTCCTGCTCTAAAGCTGCTCTGCTTGTGGGTGAGTTTTATATTTTCCTACCTCTATTCCGGGTTAGGCACTTTGCGATGGTAAACCTCATCATTTACAAACTCAACTGCAGAACGCCAAGTCAAAACATTCAGTTAAGTACGTGGAGTTCAGAGACGGTACATAAAAATATCAGCTGTGAAAACACGTGGAGGAGTGCAAAATCTTATTGCAGAGTCAGAGAAACAAATACCGTACACACACTGTTGAATATTTTATTTTTTTTGTGTTAAATTTGCATCGCAATGATTAAAAGAAAAAAAAAAAAAAAAAAAACTTGTCAAAGATTTCGAAGGGGATTAGCTATTGAATTTATCACAAATTAAAAAAGTTGAAACGGGCATCCAGGACCAGCCCAAGTTACAGAGTTTGAGGCTGATTATGTTCTGGCCCAAAGAAATGAGCTGTTTTAATAAAAAACAAAACAAAAACAAATTGCATTTCTTTTCAGCTGTTGCTGATAAGGCTTTACATACCATAGTTTTACATTCCGTGCTATAATTACTTTTTATTTTTGCATGCACTTTTTCATTTAACTAGAGGTTATGGCAAACTACTCAGAAATGTGTCAAGGGCTGAAAAAGATCAAAAACAAGACCTGAAAGTTGCTTGAATTCACTATTTGAAAAACCCAGTATTATAATTTTAGCTAAGTGTTAAGCCACCCACAGTACCATGAAAAAGTGTTTTTAAAGGCTTATACATTTTTCTGTTTTTGTCTCGCATCTCTGATCAAACAAAACCCTGACCCTGACAAATAATTGCTCTCTAAAACTAATGACCGTTGTCCCTCTTGGCATCAACAACTGTTATCAAATATTTCTGATAAGGACTGAGACATTTACACTAATAGGGAGGTATGTTGGCCCCACTTTTCACAGAATCGTTTTTATTAAGCCAGACTTGAAGATTTTTGAGCATGAAGGTCATGCCACAGAAACTGAATCAGGTTTAAATCCAGATGTAAATTGATCAACTCTAAAACCTTCTGCTTGAGCCTAAGTTTGGAAACTGATGGCTGGACACTCGGGGAAGCTGAATTCATGGTTCTATTCATAAAGACAAATCACCTCGGTCCTTAAGTTTGGTTGTCAGTATGATTTTGTTTTTCTGAATGGCTGTTCGGATGTGATGGGATGTAGGTCTTAAAAAACAAAAACAAAACAAAAAAAAAACTAAAATTTTTCTCTCCAGTCCACAGAATATAGGAGAGTAATGGATGTCTCTGTTGAAAGTCATTATTATCTTTTTATTAAATTCTAAATTCCTTGTCAAACGGCGTTTTGACTAAAGTCCAAGAGGTTAGAGTCCTTGTCAAACGGCGTTTTGACTAAAGTCCGAAAGATTAGAGTCCTTGTCAAACGGCGTTTTAACTAAAGTCTGAGAGGTTAGAGTCCTTGTCAAACGGCGTTTGACTAAAGTCTAAAGGGTTGGAGTCCCAGTTGACGGCATCTCAACTAAAGTTCTACAGCTTTTTATTTCTCTTTCTCACTGTTTACGTTTTAATTATGTTTTTTAAATCTGTTTCTCACATGCTGTTTTTATTTTAATTATGTAAAGCACTTTGACATGCCTTGCTGCTGAAATGTGCTGTACAAATACATTTTGATTGATTGATTGATTGATCTAAACGCTTACCTCCGCTGAGGTCTTCCATGATTTAAATGCTTCTCTGGGTTGTTTTGTGGCTAAGTCTTTTCATGCCTTACATTTTCACATAAAGCCAGTTTGCTTTCACAAACCCATTTTTTTCCCATACTAAATAAAATCCTGCTCTAAGGATTTTAATATCACACTAAATAACACAGGTCATTAAAATGTATTAGATCTTCTAAAATATATTTCATTGTGACGAAAAAAAAAAAAAGCCAAAGTAGAGGAAATCTGCCAAGAGGCAAATATTTCACTGAACAGTATTTTTTTGTTATTGTTCTGAGCTAAAACTGTACAGGAAATGGTGGACAGTAAATATTGAAAAGTGAAAAGGTGAACCTCGAAAATAAATTCTGCTTAGGCCTTAAAACTTCACTTGCAGCACGGTGCTTGCAGCAGAACTTATGTTTTACCATTGACACTCTGAGTTTATGGTAAGACTCTCTTTTCTGTTCCTGTTGTGAGTGAAAGGAATTGCTAGTGGTTTGGTTGACACGAGTATTTGGCCAGAGCTGTTCAGCTGTCTGAAGCTCTGGGCAAAATATGTCCCAGTGTTTTTCTGTGAGTGACCCAGCTTGACTCAAATGTGATAATTGCAGGGAATCTTGCTCCCTGCTGTGATGTTTAGTTTGAGCTTCCAGCAGATTAATAGACAGAAGAGCCGACTGTCGCATGAGATCAGGATAAATCTTGAAACGCATCCTGTGCTGGAATTGTTGTGAGATCCCCTTCACATTCAACAAACAGGGTCTTGTTTTGCCACATTGGAGAATAAGCAGAAATGTGCAGAAAAATCATAAAACCACAAAACTTAGAACATTAAGATTTTAATTCCTTTAACTGTAGAAAAAGATTGAGACGTTGGATGGTGTACTTTAAACTTAATTTAAGTTAAGTTTAAATTAACTTTAATTTACTCAACTGATGCCATCAGTTGAAAATCTGACGCATTATTCATTTGATATCATGGACATTAATTTCACTGCATGAAAAAAGAAAGTGGTGTACGTTTTATTTTTCTTTATTTTAAACCATTAAAAAAACATAGTGTTCACCAATTAGCGACACCGTTGTGACCAGACAGGAATAGCAGGTAGGATTAATAGAGCAGGAAGTGAACGCTTTGTCCTCCAAAGTTGATGTATTAAAAGCAGAAAGAATATGCATACAAAAAGATCCAAACAGATTTGACAAGGATCAAATTGTGATGTCTAGATGACTGGGTCAGAGCAAATCTGCAGTTTTTGTGATGTGTTCCTGCGTTGTAGTGGTCAGTTTATTTATCAACAGGAGACCAGTCAATGAACAATGGTGGGGACAGGCCCATGAGCTATCAGTTTGTTGAAGCACAAGGGAAATGAGGCTAGTCATAAGATGGACTACTATCGCTCAATGTAGAGAGGAAATCAAAGTTTCTGATAGAAAAGTGTTGGAATACCCAAAGCATCAATGACTGTTTACAAAACACTTCAAGGCAGGACGTGGGTGCATTTTTGCCATTTACGTGTGTTTTGTAAAAGGTGAGGGAGACTGAAATCGAACAGACTAATTGGCCAAATGAGTTAGTTACTGCCTTGTATCAGCTGAAAACAGAGATCACCATCATGTTGTATGCATTTAATGTGCATCATTTCTTTCCATAAACACAAATTGGACAGTTTGCTGTGAAATGCATCAAGAAGAACAGATCTGACCTCTGCCAAAGTTAAAAAAAAAAAAGACATCACACACCAACAATATGTTTAAAGCTTTAAAATAGTAGATTTTCAACACCCAGATTCTCTATAACACTTATCAACCAAACTCATCTCCACACCATGTATGGTTCTTCAGTGCAGGTTTGATATTTGAATGGCCAGAAGTAGCTTAGGCGAGGGCTCCACTTTCAAGGTTCATGACATCGCCGTTTTATGAAAGTGCAGGATGAAAACAGACACGCTGATACTAGGATGACAATATGTTAGTGATTTATGTATTGTACAGCCTTAGCAGAGATGCAGTATTTAGTAGGTTTTTGTATTTCACTGCATTTGTGCTCTAGCTGTCCGTAATATCTTTTGATGGCTGGATGGACTCTCTCTGCCCTTCCACACTTGACACTGACTTTAGATTGAGAGGCTAAAGCTCCAGGGCCATGAACAAGCAAAATAAGTTAGAGGAAAATGAAGGTTAATCAGAGTTGATACCATCATCACAGAAGTGAACAATAGTCTTGTACCAGCACATTTCCAAATAATCTGCACCTCTGTTATGAACAAGACTGCAAAGGTTAGAGCTTAAATGTTTATGTGGGTGCAAAATGTTTAACTGAAAAGCTGGTTGTGGAAAATGACAAAGAGCCAAGTTTGATTTATCAGCTCTGTTTCATTTCCGTAACTTGGTTCAAAGTTATGGAAAATAAATTGTTTAATTAGAGCTTGAGAGACTGAATTATATTCTGCTGAGCTAATAAAAACATTTCTGATTTGCCAGTACTGCCCATAGATCACCTTTCTGGAGCCATGAACAATTTGCTCTTTGAAGGAGAGTATTGTGAGGGTTTTTGACAGCTTCATTTTTACTGAATAAATTACAAATGTAGACCCACATGAAAATGTCAAAGTGGCAATTACCAGATAACACACTGAAGAAGCTTGTAGTTTCCAAAATATTACAGCTTTACTTGGATCATAAAGCCATGGGAATTACTCAAGTAGGAGTGGTTTTGTCAAAGTAATTTATTTCTTGAAAAACCCAGATATTCAGGTTTCCCTGTGTAAACAATAATAAGTAAAAAGTGATCTGAACCCTTTAGGACCTGCATTTTCTGGCTTATTAGATGCAGAGAAAGGATGAGAACATTCTAAATGTCAGAAGGTGAATTGTCTGAGTGCACTTTTCTGAAGTTAGAGAATGAATTCACACAGGAAATAAGACAACAGCCTGAGCAGTCAACAGGGGAACCCATACATCTAGTTGCAAATGGATTTACTGGCAAAAGTTAAAAAAAAAAGTTAAAAGTTTTTTGGACTCAAAAGTTATTTACAATGGTAAGCTTCTTTTAAAGATTAAAGGTCTGATGCACCTAAATTAAAATACTGATTAGAAAGAACTTACCTAGAAATTGATCTGCTTAGAAAAGAAAGAGTGAGTGAGATGGAGACTCCATCTGACACAAAACAGTCCATTTGGTCAAAGCTTCAGGCTATTGTGTCACATTAACAGACTTTGTAATTCTTTAAAAAAAATCATACAATAAATGAAACAAAAAGGTTGATATTAGTTGAATCATTCACAAGGGCTGTGTAAAAATTTAAATTTTGAGCATACTTATGTGGAATTACATTCTTTAAGAGAAA